ATCTGACTTAGTAAGGCCATCTGTTGTGAGCCTGAGAGGGAGCTAGAATTAGAGGTAGGGAGTAGTGTCAGTATAGGACTTTGCTCTGGTGCATGTTAACAGCTATTGCTCTGATCATTTAACTTGTTTTCCCCAATGCCATCTATAGCCAGAATGCTATTAGGCTCTTTTTCTCAACTCCTTTACGCCTTGTCTCCAGTATTGCTAAGTGAAGGAATCCCCTGTGGGGTACTCATAAAAAGGGATGCAGAATGAAACAGTATTTGCATGTCTTTGAAAATAGCCACCATAACCATAAGTGTTAACCAATGTCCTGTGTCTTTTGGAGAAGCAAGAATCGAGCAGCAGATATGCTTCTGGTATTTTCAGAGTGAGCTCCTTTTATTATAAGTGTGCTCGGCGTTACAACTGGTCGCTAGGTCAGAGCACTCTCTTATGGGAGGAGGTCACATACATCCATATACCCAGAGGAGCTGGGTATTTTACAGTGGAAGTCACAGATTAAGGAGCTAAAGAGGTGATTGTAAGGTGGTTGGGGTGAGAGGTGCACAGACACTATCACTTTGCCCTAAATGGCGGGGTTTTTTTTTTAGGTGTATGTGAAAGTTATCTACTTAATGTGAATGGCCTTATAAAATCATGTAAATGCTTTGAAAAACTTTTATTATGTATAGTTTTTCATTATTTACTGAATGTACATTGAGACAGCCATATTAGCTCATACATACTCTTCTTATTCTGTAATGTAGTACAATGTTAGGTCCTGCTGATACTTTTTTAATTCACTGAAAGTCTACCAGACAGACTGGGGTTTATTTACTAAAGCTGGAGTGTCCAAAATCAGACTCCCTTCTGCATAGAAACCAATCAGCTTCCAGGTTTCATTGCCAAAGCTTCATTGAACAAGCTGAGGTTAGAAGCTGATTGGTTTCTATGCAGAAGGGAGTCTGATTTTGGACTCTCCAGCTTTAGTAAATAAACCCCACTGTGTCTGGTTAAAAGCAGTACATTATCAACAGTCTCTAAAGGCACGAAAAGCTGAAAATGCTCTTGGAAGTCAGAGTTGTGTTGCTTAGGCCTTAGTTCACATGAAGGAGCTCGGAAGCAGCAATTTACTATTTATGGCAAAAAGGTGTAGATTTTACTCCTAATAACAATTTGATTCAGTTTGGTTGCTTTCTCTCACACTTTTTTTTGGTAGGCCTATAATGAAAACTGGCCATTATTAGGACAAGGGTCATCAGACTTAAAGTGATTGTAATGCATGCAGGTAAAAAACCCTTCTGAGTGCAGCAGTGCCCCCAGCCCCTTCAATAATTTCCTGAGCCCCATCTGGATCCATTAATGTACACAACATCCTCGGCTGTAATGGGTCTCTGCCTCATCATTGGCTGAGACAGCAAGAGAGAGCCATTGGCTACTGCTGCTGTCAATCACGGCCAGTCAGACAATGAGGACAGGGGGTGGGGCCAAGCCGCGGCTCCGTGTCTGAATGGACATATGTATCAGCAAGTGCCCCATAGCAAGCTGCTTGCTGTGGGGGCACCCAACAGAAAGGAGGAGCCAGGAGAGCCTTTGGGGGACCAGAGAAGAGGAGGATCCAGGCTGATCTGTGTAAAACCACTGCACACAGCAGGTAAATATAGACATGTTTGTTATTTAAAAAAAAATTGAACCTTTAATATCGCATTAATGTCTTGCTTCCTGTATTCCTGTATTCCAATATATGAAAACTTAGTGACATATACAGTAATACTAATAACTAATGGGAGTGCATTTTGAGGCCTTGGTGACAATTGCATTTCAGAGTGCACACATGAAAACATGATTTTTCTGGCCTTTTGTACCATAAAATACACAACAGCCATTATTTTGCAATAAAAAGATTCAATGGTCTAAAAAATAAATAATAATATTTCTTTAAAAAAATATGCAGCTGTTGCAGGGAGACATTAGTTGGCAAGTGGCCAGCCTTATTATGGGAAAGAAGCATGAAGGCAGATGGATTATTTCCAGAGGGATGAAATAATCTGGAGTAGTAATCTGTTTTATGAAGAGGAAAATTAATTGAGATTTTACAGTGATAGTTATAGCGGCAATTAACCTTTTCTCTTCCTAACCAGCAAATACATAGGGAATGCACATTGGTTGGGAAACGAATAAGCATAGTTACTTATTTTTCACTGGGGAGTTTAGATATAAAGATTTATAGTAAGTATAATTGAACAAAATTTCAAATTAAATGGAAATCCCCCATCTACTTACGATGCCCCATGACCTCTTCACTTTTTGCTGGTGAAATCTGCTATTGTGCCATGACCACACATATTCAGTTTAATTGAAAGAGAACCACTCCACTTGGAGTCTCACTGCTGATTACAACAGGATTGTGTGAAAAGCCACTAAGAGGAAGACAGGGGTTTGCCATTTTTAAAAAAACTGATTTTATATAATATAGTAAAATGTATTACCCCACCCCCACATGCACATTTCTTATCCTCTGATATAGTGTAATACATTTCCAAAGCAAACGTACTATGGAATTTAGAGATGCGAATTTCTATTATAACCAGAAATACCCTCTACTTCTGAGGGTATATTGTCAACAGCCTGCAACAGCAAGACCCTAAGTTTAGACTGAAGTAAATCTACTCACAAATAACAGTATTTTGAAAACAGCTCTGAGTGAGAGTGGCCTGCCATAATAGATTTCATCATCCAGTGATACCTGTAAACACAGCGTATTTTCAGGGAATTTCCCTGCCTTTCACTATGTAAAGTATGCTTTCCAAGTGCTATGGTAGACCTTGTGAGAGCAGAATTTCATTGCTTTTAGGAGCATAGGAATAATGGAATCAGATGGGCCCTTATCTACTGGGATTCAGTAGCTGTGCCATTAAAGCCAGCAACTGTGAAGGAAGGTGTTAAAATGGTTTTTGGGACATGAGAACTGGGCCATCTGGAAGAGCCCACAGACAGGCCACCAAAAGTCTGATAAGATTTGAGAATCACATCTGCATGGGCCACCTTGGAGCAATGAAAATCTCCTGAATGCCCCCCGTTTTGATCCTGCAGAGCAGATGAAGAAGAAATTTTATAGGAGGAAAGGAATAGATCAGGTTGAACTGATCCCACTGAGTCACCAGAACATCCACAGTTACGGCTAGCTTGAAACATATTTGCTCAGTTTGTTGCTGATCCTCTTTTGGCATTCCACACCTGTGACAGAGGTTTTTAAACACCTAAAAAAATGAAGGGACAATTCTCATGAGTCTAGACTGCTGACTGAGGAAGTCTGCCTGCCAGTTTTCCACTGCTAAGAATGTGCACAGCAGACAGTTGTAATAAGAAGTTTCACCTAAGCCAGAATCTGGTAAGCTTTTATTTGAGCTGCAAGAATTCTGATTCCTTTGTGAAGGTTGATGGCATTGTCCACTTGAATCCGGGACATGGTCAAAGGTTTCCCCCAATATGCAGGCCTATTTCTCAAACTGTATGAACATGCTTATGCATAATATGGAGACAACAGTGTCTCACTGTTATCTTAGGTGAACAACAAGTTATCAGGTGAAATATTTCTGAGTGACTAATACATTTTTCGCTTGACAGCACAGACATGTATGCTTCAGAAAGTTGGATCATGGGTGATAGCTCACGAATCACGGGTATTAAAAAATTTACTTATTTTTACTTCTCAATTTAAAAAAAAAATTAATAATATGTAGTAAGAACAAACTACATGATTATAGTTTGAGGGAAATAATCAATGAAAAGAGGATCAGGAAATTACCACAGAAGCTTTCTGGATTAAATATTATCATAATTGTAAAATAGTGTTGAATGAAATCCAGCTCAGCACTAGAATAAATGTGCTCTTTGATTGTAGGAAATACGAACCTCTTGGTGCTTAGCGTCTTGATGTTTTTGAACCAGAGTCCTGGGACTTGTCTTCCTTGTTATTTATGTCTGGGTATTGTTCATTAAAATGAATTAACCCCCTATAGGAAATAAGCCATCTGCTTCTACGTTCTCCCACCAGAGCCTAGTGGAAAGCTGCCAACTCATTTTCTGCAAACCACACTTCACAGACTGGCAAGGCATCAAATTAGGCGTTAAAGGGGCAGCCTAAATTCTAAAAGTGTAGGTAATGCTGAGTATCATGACAAAGCCTTTACTACCTTTGTAGTACAGTAAGATCCATGTAAATTGATAAGGCATGTCTCCTATCGAAGTGAATAAATTAACAACTGCTCTGCTACATTCTGCTATTTCATACAAATTACGGTGGCCACCCAAAGGCTAAACCGAAAATCAATCATGAAGATTTAGTAGAAACTGAAACAGGACTGGAGTTGCTAGGTTGTTTGTAGAAGCCAATCATATTGCAGACTTCCTGTTTAACTTTCTCAGACACAAAGCTGCCACCTGATTGGATGCTATGGGCAACATCTCTTTTTTTTTTTTTTTTAAATTAAAGTACTGACATTCTGGATTTATTTTGATATATGTTTTATGGCTGTTTTTGAAGCACTTCATTTCAAAGTGAACATTTTAAAACTGGTCAGATATATTTTTTTAAACTGCTGCAGTGCTAATTCTATACACTAAAAGGGAGATTTGCCAAACAAGATGCATATAATAAAAATATATCTCAGTTAATTCCTCTTCTTCACTATAGCTTACCTAATAAATTAATTCCCAGTTGTTTTTCAGTCTGAATCATAATGTATAGCAAGCCTTATATTTCATACAATTTAGACAAAGGTTTACATAGACATTACAACATTAAAAAAAAATTGTGCATAACCACCCTTTTCCCTGGTGTACAAAGAGAAAGACAAACTTCTATTCCCAAGAACTTTGAAATTTATTTGCTAAAAAAAATGAAAATTCTTAATGATAAATATACATTGCTGATGCTGACAGAAAGCTGGTGATAAGGGAAGCAGTAAAATGGTAGTCACATTTTAATTTTTTTTTAAAATATGCAAAAAACATACCTGTTGGAACCAAGGAAAGATTCTGCCCTTAGGATAATATTGACTGCTGACAATACTTAGTAGAGTGTCCAGCACCATACAAATCCAAGCTTTGGTGGGAAGTATATCAGGTTCAATCTGCAGGAAAACAAAAAAGCATTCATCCTAGAACAATCTATATATGTAGAAGTGAATGCATGCACTCAAGGCAGCCCTATGACTGAGCCATACTTACATTACCGTCTGCTCAATGACCTCTATAGTTTACACTTGACCTTTACTGTGTAATATATTACATGTCCAAAACTGAACATTTCTTAAAACTGAACAACTTAAAATGGAATTAAACTGCATCTGAGCACCACAAACCAAAAACACAATTTGATTCAATTTTATTATTCAAAGCAAACTCCCCCATCCATCCATGTCTGCATGATATGGGAAAAAGAACAGACCGCTTCAGGTGAGTGCTGAATCACATAGCCCCTCCACACAAATGTCGGTGCCGGCCCGATCCGTGATCGTAGAAGTGGTACCAAAGGAAGAAGGTTGGCCGCACTGTCGACAGTGTAGCAGATGTAAAATCCTTTATTGGAATCTTCACAAACAATGAGATAAAACCATGACAGCTCCAAGACTGGACAGAAGAACAGTAAAAGCGTTTCACACGAACACATACTTAGTCATTACTGACTAAATAATGACTAAGCATGTGTTCATGTGAAAAGCGTTTACTGTTCTCCTGTCCAGTCTTGGAGCTGTCATGGTTTTATCCCAATGATTGTAAAGATTCCAGTAAAAGATTTTACATCTGCTACACCATCGACAGTGTGCCCAACCGTCTTCCTTTGGTACCATGTCTGCATGATATATTTTGCTGAGAAATCACTCCCTAGCATTTCTGGCTGTAGTCATCTTGAGTAACGGCAGATGATTCATGTACCATTTACTTCCTGGAAGTCATCTGCCCTTAGCTAAGGCATGCAGACAGGATGGTGTGCTTAGCTGAGAAAATCTAGAATATATGACATCATATGCCTTGGCATGGAAACCAAGAAGAAATATAAATATGATATACTTTCCTATCTATTTACTTATGCTAGTAGCATAAGGATTAAAAGTAGTTAATGTTGATTAAGAGAGTGAAGTTCCGCTTTAAGTAAACAATTCAACAGTGCTTTTCAACCTTGTCATCAACTAGTGGTGTATGAATGCTGCATCTAGAGTTATCAGGGGACTCGATGCAAAATTTTAGGATCATGACTTTAGAGAAGATATAACTTTACTGTCCCATGCTCCTTGCCATACGCAGGAGATAGGACTTAGGTATACCATTGCCAAAAAAATAAAAATGTCAGCCAAAGGAAACACATGTAAAAAAAACAATAGATGACAACTCTTCATACATGAGAATCAGTGAAGGTAAAGTGATTGTAAAGGTTTAAAAAATTTTAAATCAAAATAATAAATATGTCATACTTAACTGCTCTGTGCTATGGTTTTGCACAGAGCAGCTTTGATCCTCTTCTTCTGAGGACGCCTGCCCCACTCCTCCCCCACGGCCAAGTGCCCACCATAGGAAACTGCTTGCTATGGGGCACTTGTCCGTGCTTGATCCAGAGCTGGGCTGTTTGAATCTACTCAGACACAGCTCAGCTTGGCCCCTGGCTTACTGGTTTGCACTGACATGAGCAGAAGCCAACGGCTCCTGCTGCTCTCAGCCAGGCCTGGGAGAGGGGGCAAAAGCTGCTGCAGATGTGCACAGCGCTGGATTGAAATCAGGCTCAGGAAAGTATTTAGAGGGGGTGCAGGAGAGCTAATATTAAATGGCCAAGAACTATCTTTCAGATACTTTTAATGAAGATAACAATAAATGTGGCTCAGCAAAGCAAGAAATGGGACAAAAACAACATCTACACCATACTACCTATGTACCAGGGACCGTGCCAGCACTGTGCTATGGCTCAGTTGACAGTTGATAGAAGATGACCTAACCAGACAGGTATCCTTTTATATTACAACTCTGGGAAGGACTCCTGTATCTTCAGAATCTTAAACAGAAAATATCTTATTCGAAATCAACTAGAGGACACCATGTGCTAAAGTGTATTAAAGACCATGTAGCAATCTTGCACTTCTAGAGATGTTAGATGGAAAGCAGAGGAGAGGTTACCCTAAAATTATGATGATATACTGTTGGGGTGGTTATTACAATACTTAAGACATATTAAAACATATTGAGCGCACAATCACATGATTAGACAAATACATGCAGAAGTGGAAGACCTTTGCCGATAGGAATGTAATAAGTGAGACTGAAGAACAATATGCCACACTAAACAAAAGTAGAGACGACCATGACTTATGTCAGAGATCTTAAAAGCATTTTGTTTGAATATGAACGGATAAATTTGATATTGCTTACTTAAAGCTGGGATTGGAGGCATTTCTTAGTGTTGCTTACATTCAGTAAAGTATGAGGATGAAAAGTTCCTGTGGAGGTCATTACTTGGTAATCTAACATACGTCATAACTATTGCAGAAAGTATGTGCTGATGTACTATAAGCCTAGGTACACACATATGTGGGTCAGGGAACCTGTGCCAGTTGCACACGTTCCTGATCCGCAGGCAAAATAAGCTGCTCTTTTGTGGATGTGTGGGGGTGCCATTCATTCTTAATGCTCCCCCACGCATTAGAAAAGGGAACACATTTTTTGAGCGTGCAACCATACAATTGCATACAGCTGTGTTTTTTTTTTTAATGAATGGGCTGCTGTGTCCGTGCAAACATGGCATATAGTACCCACATACGTGTGAACCTAAAGCTCGCCCACACTAGGTGTTGTTAGCAGTGCTTCAGACCCTGGAAACTCCAGGAAAGTATTCCCAATAAAACAGATAGGACAAAAAATAGAATTAATAAATACATAAAGACACAAAACACACGCACCTCTGGGGCACCTTCGATTTCTGAAGGAAGACTACTTTCATATTTGGAGACAGTAACAGCTAAGCCAGTGAGAGCAAGGAGTGCATTCCCCTTTACCACAGGGCTGTCTCTGTAAAGAAAGAGAAATGAACAGTGCTGACTTTAGCATGGAATCTCTAGGTTTGGAACTCACTTAAGTGATCCCTAAAATTTTAGTTGTCCTGCTTTCATATCAGTTTTATTAACTGCACCATTTAACAGCAAAAAGGAAATTTCTATGAGCTATAATTAAATTTGCAATTAATGATCTTTAAACTATCGATTGTGATATGTCCCCTGATTATTATTATACAGGAGTTACATAGCGCCAACAGTTTGCGCAGCGCTTTAAACATGGGGGCAGACAGTACAGTTACAATACAATTCAATAAAGGAATCAGAGGGCCCTGCTCATTAGAGCTTACAATCTAAATGGGAAGGTCAAGTGATACAAAAGGTAATAACTGTGGGGGATGACCTGATGGAGAAAGTAAAAATATAGTTGTTAGGTGGAGGTGATAAATATTAGTACACCAATAGACCACCCAACATCACCCACTTTCAGACCGCCCATCAGCCGTACATTGCGCACAGGCAAAGCGACATACCCATACGCCTACTCCTGCTGTAACTGTACAGTCAGCAAGTCCCAGCCAATAATTCATTGTTGGGACCTGCTGATCTTCTGTGTAAAATCACGGCTCAGAGCTCTGAGTTGAAAATCAACACAGAACTCTGTACATTGAAAAATAAATCTCTCTGTTTTTCATCCCTGCGAAGCGGGGATGAGAAACTAAGGGATCTATTAGTGAAAAGCACCACACTTTACACATAATACATATTAAGTGGATATACACTGATGTCAGTGAAGCCCTGGAATCAAAAATTATTTTATATGGAAGTTCATGTTAATATTGTATAATGTACTAACATAAATTAAGAGCATTTGTATTGCTTTTAGCCAACAGTCAGATGTTGTGAGGCAGGCTGTTAAGGGAAGATATGCCCTCTAAGCAGTGGTACCCCTGAAGCTACTCAGCAGTGATGTTAAAACAGCAGATAGGTGAAGAGGTGCCTAGTAGTTAGACCCTGCTCTTTAACTGCAAACAAGAGTTTAGTCTCCCACCCCTTTAGGTGGATACATGAGGATTAGCAAGTTAGTAGCTTGTTTTAAAGAGGCAAATAGCTTACTTGATAGCAGATCTTATTACTTCAGTCAGCATATCTCTCACCCTGAAATACAAAAATTACAAACTGTCATTAAACATAAAAAAAAAACAAAAATGTATAGACCTCTACTCCAGAAAAAAATGTGTTTGTTTTAGATGGAGCCAGGAAGGATTGCTAGGTTTTCATTGTTGTCTCTGATAATTTGGAGAGAGATTCTCAGTCCCTGTTCTGTCTAATATCTTGAGAGGAATTTGGGGAAAATATACCCAATGTGAACCCAGAGAGCAATAAAAACCTCACAGAGGTTCCAACCCTTCACCAAGCTACCAAAAATAAAGTTATTCCTGTCTATGTTGCTGCTGGGAAATGTCCCCTTAGTCCTTGTTTTGTGTCACACTTGTCAAACAGGAGGTGAAGAGAAATCTCCCCAACAAAGACAAACATAGCTATATAAACTGGAGAGAGATTCTACATACTCTGCCCACAGCAAAAGTGGTAGCAAAAAGACAACATGTCTGGGCTTCATATGAAGGAGTGATGTTACTTGCATTACGGCAAGAAAAATTATGCAGTTCTGAAAATGATGTATTTGCCAACTTCTAGAATTACAAAAATAACTGAACCATCTTGATAGGCGACATAATAGCCCATTAACATGCACCATACCAGAGCCACGCTGTGTGCGCTTTATACTGGAGTTCTTGTGGGTCGTCCCTTTCCATGTTTCAGCTGCATTTCTAGCTCAGCCTGCCTGCCCTAGAAAAAAAAAAAACACAGTAAATCCACGATAAAGCGATTCTATCAAAAGAAAATGTTGGGGCTTCTATTGTCCTACTTCTTTGGAAAACGTTACATGGTTGCGTTTAGCTTCAATACTTTACAGTCACAGACCAAGAATTGACATGCTGTAAATAAGTGTCAAACTTCCTAACCTCTGTATTAGTTCCAGGTCACAGACTCAGAAAGCAATAAAGTCAAAACTTTAGCATGACAGCCAGAC